TCTTACTTCATAGATTTTACTGCTGGTCATAAAAGCATCAAACGCTTCAGACTCTGATAAAATCATTTAAGGACCAAGTGTGTGATGTAATGATGGCTGTTTACAGAGATCTAAACAAAAGTTGCAAATTTTTTTTTTTTTTTTTCATCTAGCTCAGTCATGGGCAAAGTGGGGCCTGTGGGCCACATGTGGCCTGTTTTGCTTTCTAAATGGCATGTCAAATTCCACAAGGAAAATAAGATTTATTAAAATTTTGTTTCTTTCATTTCATCCTCACTTGTTCACTAACATTTTCTCATGCATAACCACATACATAAACAATGATTAAGCACAACATTTCTTGAATTTTGTAACTTTTCAGAAGGTGACGTTTTTATCATTTTAAATGATTGGTGATTTTCACCAAGGAAGACCATGCATGTAAATATCATTTGCTTTAGGAACAGGATGTTCATAATAATTTTTTTGTCTGGAGAAGAAATATATTTTTTTGGAGAAGAAACATTTTTTTTTTTCTTTAGGAAGAAATGTATTTTTTAATTTAAAAATTATTTTATGTATTTTCAAATGAATAAATAAGAAACAAATCACATGCAAGTGTGTGATGACCCCTGTCATCTGTGATAAAATTATACTGGGATTTCTTTTTTTTTTTTAATTATTGAGAAACATTTTCTCCAAAAACAATCAATTTTTCACCATTTCTATGGAAGATGCTTATGTGTATGGTCTACTGTGATGAAAATGGCTGAGACAGATTAAATGAAAAATAAATCATGTTTTGTGGCAATTTGTAACATCAATTTGAGATTTTTCTTGTTAAAAAGTTGAATAATTTTAACACATTCAGCATAATGGATAAAAAAAAATAGTGAATTTTATATAGTGTTTGTTTGAGACTTAGTATGAGCAAAAACAAATTCATGGATGAAAAACAAAAAGAACCCCCATCAAAATCTGCAAAAAATTTTCATTTTTTAATAATAATCAATTTTGCTTAGTTTAATTGGTAAGGTATATAAATGTAGGTAGAAAAAAACAAAACAAATGTTGATAAGATAGTGAGGATTACAAAGCACTGTCTGGGGCACCCAATCAACCTCCCCCTTACCTGGTCAGGAGGGTAGTATGTACCAACCCTGCAGTCAATGAATGCTGAAAGTTTCCTTATAAGAAAATGGCGAATATTACCATTATGCCATCAACATGCAGAGTAAAAAGTGGAAATGGAATCAAGGAAAATTTGAAATGGAAAATCAGGAACCCTACATGCAACATTGTGTGATAACCACTGTCATTTGTGATAAAATTAGACTGGGATTTTATTTAATTATTATTCTCGAAAAACACTCAACCTTTACGCCATTTATATGCGTATGGTCTTCTGTGATGAAAATTTCTGAGACAGCTTCAATGAAAAATTACCTTGAATCTTTTTAGCAGTGCAGCCTGCCATATCTGGTTGGAAATAGTTGTCCATGCCTGAACTAGCTCTTTTTTTTTCTGTGTATTTAACTCCAGTAAATCTTCATCAGGCTTTTGCCTAATGACTCGTTGTTCTGGCTTTGCAGATTTACTTTTCAGCTCTTTACATTGATTGTGACAGATCCTATGCCCTGCACCTCTCGGATGCTTATATTTCCCACTGATGTGTCTGAAGATACAGGTACTGAGAGACCTTTTCAAGAAATTCTTGTAACTATTTAGTGGGATGCTAGTTCTCTGTTCACCAGAGACAAGTTCTCTGGGCAGGAATGCCCCCAGATAATGAGTTCACCATACTTACCAATGTTTTATTCATTTTTCTTCTTTTTTTTTTTTTTTTTTTTTTTTTTTTTAATCATTTCACTCAAACAAGGTGATAATACCACTAAGACTGGGAGTGAAAAAGAATGAGAAGACTAGGAGAAGGACACATGGCACAGTGGATAAAGGTGTTGGTTAGATCCAGTGACAGGCCCCAAAGAGTTTGAGTTCCATACCTGGTTAAGGCAGTGGAGAACATGGAGAGGAGAAGTAACAGGAGATAACTGACAACTGACATCCATTAAACATGGCACGTGGAACTAGAACAGTCTACTCCAGTGAGTAAAATAAAGGGTTCAGTTTGACATTCCAATCACCTGAAGAAGGCCGGAGCGTACAATGGCCGAAACATTGTAATAAATATGGTGACAAAGATGAGGACAATAATCTGAATTTGTGTGTGTGTGTATATATATATATATATATATATATATGGACATTTCATTGAATATGACAGACGAGGTGCTTTTATTTAGGTTTTTATACAATTTCTCATGCGATCTAATAATTTTTTTCTTTTTAGATGATAAATTATATAAAAACTGTCTGAATGTTCTTTTGATTCAATTGCTTTCGGCTATACATTTAGCCATTTTCAAGGATTAAATATTTTAACTGTTAAATAAGAAATTCATTCAGACAGTTTTTATATAATTTATCATCTGAAAAGAAAAAATTCATTAGATTGCATGAGAAATTGAATAAAAAACTAAATAAAAGCACCTTGTCTGTCATATTCAATGAAATGTCCATGAAAGAAGAATTGCTGCCTAAATACACACACACACACACACACACACATATATATATACAGTGGGGGGAAAAATATTCGTACACATACAAATTTTTAACATATTGTATTGCCAACTAATGAATAAACATACTTTTCATATAATTAACTGTACACAGATGCATAATAACTATGTGTACAAATATTTGTTTTTCCTCACTGTATATATATATACATATATATATATATACATATACATACATTATATATATATATAACAAAAAATATGGTAAAATTGTCGGACTTAGTCCATTTCATAATATATATATCTTTGACCCTCAGCACCAAAAGAGAGAAAAAAAAAAAAAAAAAAACTAGGGGTGTGGGGGGGATACAGACATACGCATGTGTACATACACACATATAGAAGAGAAAAATCAACCTAACACCAATAAAATAGTACATAAATCATTTTTTAACTTAATATAAAAATAACAAAAATGAGAAAATCAGCAGTCATTTGTTGATATCTCCTGACGAGTGGACTGAACGATTACAAAAAAGCTTCATCTAAAACCACTCTGTAGTTGGTGTAGTGAATGTAACATCAATTAACTAAGTGACAAATTTTATATTTGTATTAATCCTATATAGAGAGGGTGTGTTTAAGTGTTATTGGCTTGGCCCAAATAATAATAATAAAAAAAAAACCTTTAAAAGAAAATAAAAATCTCATGCTTGGTCAGTATACGATAGCAAGCTTAATTCTTCATTGGTTAAATGTATCGTCGTTCAGGTTTTATTTTAATTTAAAAACTCCAGAAAATATGAAGAAGCAATCTTCTTGCCTATTGATCTAATAGTTCTTGGGTGTGGTAATTTGGTAGACGTAAGTACCATCATGAGACCACGAACAATTATTCGCAAAATATTCAATCGTATCCAGTTGATCAATTATTCATGAAACAATAGTCGAATATTGAATAATGGGAAAACATTCTTGAAAATAACTACGTAAAACTGAGCAGCTGAGAGAAAACCAGAATAGATGATCTATGGGAAATAACTCTAAAGTACTTATTACCTCCCTTGAATTTTTCTCCTTAAATTTTGAGTGTCTTCAAAGTTGGGTTTTATTAATAAATGGATGTTATTCAGCATTCGGTATTGATGATAAAACCATTTCCAGAATATTTCATTCAATTATGTGCCATGCGTGATACACGCTTAGGCGATCATGTATCTTTCGATACATGACTGACGAGGCAGATTTTTTCCCCCGCAGTAGGTTGCCGTTTTTTTTCGGAGGTAGACCAGTTGCCATCCAAGGCTATAGAACCCGCTCTGTCCTGCTATTTACTTATAGCTGGAGGGAGAAGAAGAGGATTTATACCTTGCCCAAGTAATGAGAAAGGTATAAAAGGAATGTAATGGATTCGACTGGAATTCGAACTCGGCTCCCCCATTCCGCTTTGCTATCCATTACTCCACCCAATGATTTGATTTCCTTTGATTTTTGAGACGACATCGGAGTATTTTACTTACTGGAAATAGTAAATTTAGTCATTTAGTTTTCAATTAATTAAAGCTAAAAAGAAAGCTTCAAGAATTTTTTTTTTTTTTCATTTAAAAAAATTTATTTTAAACATTAGGTGTCGAAAATTTAGTGGAAGTCCCTCGTCTGGTGTATTTCAAATAGAAATTATATTGATTGGAATCTCAACTTTTTGGTCGTTTTCACAAAGTCGATTACAATCGGCCATTTTCTTACATACATTTGTAAACAAAAGTTAATTCTTAGTTTTAAAAATCTTCGAAAAATAAAATATATATTTTTGACACGTTATTTGAGGAACATTAACAAATGTAATGTTAAATTAATGTGATTTGAAATAAATATTACTTATAGAGTAAAACATAGTATACAAGCATTTCAAAACCACGGGATCTTGTTTTTCAGATGTGATGATTGATGTATTGACAACTTAAGGTGTTGACAGCTAAGTATGGTTGACTAGAATTGACATAAATATAAGAAATCTAAGTATTTTTTTTATCTACCTTTTACTTTCTAAAAACTAATATAATATTTTCAGCAATTACTTAATATTTTATTGAATTTTAGTTACTTTAGTTTTATAGCCTTATGTTTGAAGATGCTTTCTGAGAAAATAATAAAATTTAAAATACTATAAAATTTTCTTGAATTAATTTAAAAATTTAATAACTGAAATATTAATGAAATACCATAATAGGGGTAACTGAATAATTTATGAAATGTTATGGTATTTATTATTAATTTATATTTTTTTTAATATATTACTTATTTTTTATCTTATTTATTATTAATTGTTATGATGGTTAGGAAATGTTAAAGTTATTTTATTTATTCAACTTTTATTGTACTCTAAATTTTATAATTAATTACGTAATTGGTTATTTCAATCCATACCCTAAACAATATTTAAAAGAAATTGCTACTATGTGTAACAGTGAAAAGACTTTTGGAAATATTTTGTGACCCCCGAAAAGGGCCGTTTTTATCTTCAACCGTCATCATTGCATCTTCAACCGTCGTTATTGCATCTTCAACCATCATCATTGCATCTTCAACCGTTATCCTTGCATCTTGACCCGTCTTCATTGTATCTTCAACCGTCGTTATTGCATCTTCAACCATCATCATTGCATCTTCAACCGTTATCCTTGCATCTTGACCCGTCATCATTGCATCTTCAACCGTCGTCATTGCATCTTCAACCATCATCATTGCATCTTCAACCGTTATCCTTGCATCTTGACCCGTCTTCATTGTATCTTCAACCGCCGTTATTGCATCTTCAATCATTATCATTGCATCTTCAACCGTTATCCTTGCATCTTCACCCGTCTTCATTGTATCTTCAACCGTCGTCATTGCATCTTTAACCGTCATCATTGCATCTTCAACCGTCATCATTGCTTGGCTGTTTTTCCAAATACAAGTCCCGCATAATATAGCGCCAACTTCGTATTTGTCCAACTGATAATTGTCAACTTCATCAATGAGATAGGAAATCCTATAAAAAGGATCCACAAAACTAATAATATAGCCGACCTAATAACGGTTTAAATATTGTCCAAGTATGTCTGAGGGTACGGCCAACTATATTACCACTGAGAATCTCATGCAAGTCTTGTGTACAGTCTTGGTATACAAGAAGCAAAGAAGAAACTGACAGATCTGTCAAAATCTTTAGATTTTTTTCTGGATCATAGCTCTTCTTCTTTTGAAATCCTTAGCTTTGATCCTTCTACCAATTTCTTCTTCGACTTCTTGGTGCTGCAATTTCTTCATTCCAGTCTTCTGTCTGCTGTACATCAGTGCCAACTCTAGGTAATTCTGGAACTGCTCAGCATCCAGTCCGCTTGACCTTGGCTACATCGCTTAAGCTGGATCCATAAGTATTAGGCGCAAGCTTCTTTCTTTCACAAAATTCACCGATGATGCTTTCAGCTAGTATGGTGTGCTGCCTCACCGATGTTAATAGGGACTTGGAAGAAACCTCTATCATGGTGAACAACTTTTTATACTTCCCGCTTAAAACCTTTACAGTCCTTTTTAAACCGTTATCATTTTTCAAAATAAAAATTCATTTGCGGGGACAATCAGTAGGGAATCTATCACATCCTTTGGTAATGAACTTCCAAAGAAGTCCTCCTTGGAGACCAAAATAGATATGGTATCCTTGGTTAGTACCTTCAGATTATCAAGGGGGTCATTGACAAAGTTCATTGTATCTTTTTAGGTATTTTCAGTGGTGCAGAAAGTACTCATGCAAAGCCCCGATTACATCTTAGCCATTATTCCCAGCACCTGCATCTCTACGATAGCCGTTTCTTCCATAAATATCTGCTGCAACCTTGAGATGATTTAATTTGTGGAAGAAAGTCTCAAGACAAAGTGTTTGAACTGTCCGAAAATGGGAAAGTAAGAAGCAGCTAGATGAAAAATTAAATGTCACTGATACCCTTCTTGTTGGAAAAAGAACTTCATTGTGTTAACAAGCCCTAATTTATCACTCTAGCTGAGGGAATTCGTGGCCACAAGAATTCGCCATGCTAGGCACTCACTCATATTTCGCAATCACTCAGGACCTTCCTTGTCTTCGATGCAATTGCTTCCAAAGTATTTAAATTGCAGTGTAGTTGTACAAGTTCAATCTGACACTCCTTTTCCAATAACGGAACCGTTGAATAGTTGACAGGGAGGCCGATCTGTTACGCAACATTTATTTTTTCGAAAGTATGTATTTTAACTAGCATCAACACTTATGCCAGTAGACAGTGAGCATTAACTAAGTTGTTGATGCAGTCACAAATATGCTGCTTGTAGTCCTTCATGGTGCTTCCAGGTCCTTCCAGGAAGACGTTCCAACGACACAAGATGAGAGAATGATGGAGTTGTTAATACCAGAGTTCATGTAGTTTTAATCTTTTGTTGTTTTGATTTTCGGGAAATGTGTAGTACTTTGAAAAAAAAAAAAAGGATGAATTACATTCCCCCAGGAGTTCTACTTTTAACTAATAAAAAATTTTGAGATAGAAATTTCATATCTCGAAATTTCATATCTCGAAATTTCATATCTCGAAATTTCATGAAATTAAGTGGTTGGGGGACAACATGTGTAAAAAATATTTTTTACCAAGGTTTTCTAAAACAAAACAATTCAAAAATTATTTCGTTTCTGAATAAGTCCTGAAAATTACATTAAAATCCGAGAATTTGCAAGAATTTCGAAATCCGTGTTTTTTCACCTCAAGAAAAAGAAAGAAAAGGCCCTAAAACACGAATCGTAAATATTACGTCGACCGCTGACGTAAAAAAAGATTTTCAACTAAAATTTCGAACGTGATATAAAGGATTAAAAAATTTAAATAAAATAATCAAAAAAATACATTGGTCGTTAATAATAACAAACATTTTGACGATAGAACTTGTTTTTATTAAGTTTAGACCCTTTTTTCATCAGGCTGTTTTCTCATCATAGTGATTTTTCATCCTGCTGTTTTTTCAGCGACAAGTGGAGATACAAAAATAAATATTTTGAATTAAATCATATTAATTAAACTTTGGAGTATCTACCAGAAATATGAAAATATCCCCTTAATCCTTTCTTTGAGTTTATTCATTTTCAGATAAATTAATTCGTTTTTAATAAAACTGTTTACATGGAAGATTTCCAAGCAATGAAAAACTCGTGCATATAAGACGCTGGAAGCGAAAATCGCACCGCAGCTCATGACGTCACACATGACGATATTCAGTCCCCCCCCCCCACGAGGGCGTCATGTGGCACAAGGCCTTTTTAACGTGGGATCTCCGAGCCCGTGGGATCTCCGAGCCCGTGGGATCTCCGAGCCCGTGGGATCGGCCAGAAATATGCCCATTGAACCCGTATAAACGGGTTCAGGGTCGGTTTACCTCCCCGAAAGAGAATCCGCCCTTCGGCCTAGCCTCTTTCGGGTTCCTCCCTGCCCGAAGGCAGAGAGTTCAACTGATCTGTCGTTCAAGACTTGAGCGACTGACACATGACCACGCGAAAGTGAAAACGAAAAGTATTAAAGTATGGGACGCCGTTGGTATAAACCAATGGCTTCTGTTATCAATTATAGGCATTTAAGAATATTTGTGGAGATTTCATAGTTTATTTTGCTCAGGTTAGGTTTCAACTGTTTTATGTATAGAGCTTCAAGAATTTTTAGTTTTTGTTTATTGCTTTCATGTTTAATTATAGTTGTGTTTTCAACAAGGATTTTCCGCTATTCTGTTCCGCCCGTGAAATCCGGTGTTATTATAATCTATATCAATAGCAAATAAAACAATTATACTAACAGGGAAGTATAAAAACAAACTCTACCTATACATATGAAAGAGGGATCTATCATAACAAAACCATTGGGTTCAACAACTTACGAAAAAGCTATGGTGATTGTTGTCGGTTAATATTATTTATTAATAGTTTTACAATAGATTTAGAAGTGTATTTATTGTTGGCCGATGAGAAAGTACCGGATCCTATATGGTATTATTGCGCTTGGCTGGGCAATTAATACGTGTGTCTGTGTGTGTGTGTGCGCGCGCGCGTAGAAAAAGTAGTCCTAGTTGCATCAAATGGAAAGATTATTGTTACGTAGAGTTCCTGAAGTACAATACGAGTTAATTTGGAAAACCGGGAATAAACTAAGTTGGGGTGAGTGTTAGTGTTCATCAATGGCTTGTCTTTTAAATGGTGGTGTTATTTGTTAAATATATTTTTGTTACGTTTGTGTAATGTGTAATTAATTTGATATGAAGTAGCCGAATCTACCCATCGTCTATTCTGTATTTTACTGTCCTATGTATTCTTATGACCTATGCATTACCACTGTCGCCTTTAGTTCTCGTTACAGTTATATGGTCTGAGGTATGGCTTATGTTGTTATCCCTTCTGTGTGCGTTAAATGCTTTGGCTTTCATTTTTGCCGATTACTCCTCTCCAGGATGGTAGTTGGTCCATTGAGACAGTGGGGTCCTTGAAGCGAATACCTGGCTGTTCCACTATCCCTTATCTCTATTCTATAGCGTCCTTTGCGAGAATCATATGGAGTCTCCAAGGTATATGATCATGGTTTTGCACTGGTTAACAATGTTCATTTTGGTTTAGAACTCTCACTGGCTGTCCTGGTGTTAATGGTGGAAGATAAAATGCTGTTTTTTTTTTGTTTTTTTTTAGTATGAGTAGGTAAAATTCGGGATCATTCCTCGGAACGATGTCACTTCCAGTGCGTTTCCTGACACCCCTGTGTCTATTCAGGGCCGAAGATTGTAGATGTCTGGTCCTTTTGGTAATTTGATATTTATACGGCTATAGGCTTCGTTACTATGTTGAGATACAAAAGATATTCGGATACTGTTAAATATGTTGTCAGCCTGCTTTTCCGTGTTATGGGTGCTGTTCACAGGGTATACAGATTTTTTTTTGTTACAAAAGCAAGACGAACTTCCGTATGCACATCTCAGTTTCAAAACTTTGGCCCAACTTTCCGCTGGATCATTATTTCTCAGTGGTTTACTTTCCCACGTGTACTGCAGCTTAAACCTAATGAGAGACATGATTTATGGCGAACTTTCGCTATAAATCATGTCCTCCATGATTTTTTTTTTTTTTTGTAACTGTGACAGCTTTTGCTTTTTTCGTTTGCGTGTTATACTTTGTATGGATGTGTTTGCGGTATTTATATTGTTGTGTATAGCTTTAAGTTGTCTTTCACGTGAATCTGAAGCTTTGAATGATCGACCTATATTTAATGCGCCTGTAAGGGTTAAGTTCACGGGTTTTCTCAGCTCTTTCTGAAAGTCCACAGTGGAAGTACAGGAGCTCTATCATTGTTTTAAAAATCATTTTATTCTGAGCAAGGCAATAAAGCCATTAAGACGCAAGGGGTTACTGAGTGTGAGAAAATATGAGAGAAATGAAACACTATTAAGCAGAGAAAACAACAGAAGAACAGGAGTTAAGAAGACAGAAGATAAGGATTGACATTGCATTTAAACTTTTGAAGATCAAAGTTGACTGGAAAGCAAGAACCTGGAAGACAGTTCCATGAGTGAGAAGTGTGAGAGAAGAAACTGAAGAATAGAACTAATTATGGTTACATCTAACCATTTCAATTTTAAAGTGAGGAGACCTAACAGCCAATCTAGTACTGCGCTTAAATTCATAAAGTCTATGTTCCACAGAGGAAAGTTCATCAGAACCATTACCATGAAAATATTATAGAAAAGTCACATGGAACTTACGTTAGAGCGGTTGGAAAATGACTGATGCTGAGATGCCAGGTCAGGACCAATAACGTTGCAGATTCTTCTTTTGATTTTATCTTGAATCTGAAAATACATAACAGAAGCACAAGACCAGATGTGACAACAATATTAAA